CCTGGTACGGGCGTCAGGAAATCTGGAAGCTGCTGCCTGTGAAGGGTTATAAAGCCCACGGAGTTGGAGCTGTTTGCAATGTCTTAGCTGTTCTCTTAGTTTTCTATGTTTTAATTCATGGCCCGGGAGAACCTTTCAGCACGTGGGTGTTCCAAGAGTCCCTTCTCTGTCTCCCTCTGTCTCTCTGTGTTGCTGGCTGTCCCCGTCCTCCTCCCGGCCCCTCCACTTTTTTTCCCAGCTGTGGATGTCCCTGAGTGGGGAGATCCTTTGTCCTAGAAAGTCAAAGGGTCCAAGGTGGGGACCATGAACAACCCCACCCCCTGGGAACTGCTGCTCAGTATTTGCTACACTGAAGGGAGAGCTACGGGGACCTCAGGCTTCTGCCTAGACCCTCACTACCGGATAGAAATAGAATGTGAACCACATATGTAATTCTAGCTTTCCTAAGTTTATTATGAGTAAAATGATCTTTAACATGACATTTTATTTAACCCACTACAACCCAATATATGCTGGCGATAAAGACATAACTCATATAAAAATTATTGAGTTTTTTTTTTACATTTTTAAACTAAGCCTTTGAATTCTGGTGTGTATTTTACACTAACAACACACCTTAGTGCAGACTAGCCACATTCAAGTGCTCAATAGCCACAGGTGGCTGGGGGCTAAGTCTAGACTATCCACCCAAGGCCACCAGGAAAGGGAGTTATATCCAGGAATCAAATGCTCAAACTCTCCCTGTATTGCCCCCTTTCAGAACCTGAGGGGACAGGAAGAATGGAAGAGGAAATATCAATACGGTTTTGAGGACAGGAAAGCAGACACGGAGAGTGGCAATGACTCAGCAGACCCAGGGAAAGGGAATCCTAAACTGGCAAAGGGGAGAGCCCAGAACTCACCAATTTCCAAAACAGAACCACCCCCCCCTTCCCCCCCCAAAGGCTCAGCACCACTGGTCATGGGAAGGGCCTAGAATTGGAAGTGGCTGAGAGACTCCCAGGTCACCTCCCCACACCACGCAGCTGGGGGATAGGTCCTGCCCAGCCCTCGCTGAAAAACAAAGGTTTCACCCCCAGGAAATTTAAAGAGGGGATTTTTTTTTTAATGGAAGGAAACCAGGCACAGTTAGTTGATGGCCAGTTTGAGAGACCATAGTGAGAACAGAGGGATTAGGTGAATGTACAGATGCTGGGTGCTAAGATCTGAGCTCTTCTCTTCTCATCCCTCCAAATACCTGCAGCCAGATCTTCACACTTCCAGGCAATGTGGTCACTGAGTGTTTAACTACCATCAGGTGGGAGATGGGAAGGGCGTGTGGGAGGGGGGAGATGGGAAGGGCATGTGGGAGGAGGGAGATGGGAAGGGCGTGTGGGAGGGGGGAGATGGGAAGGGCATGTGGGAGGAGGGAGATGGGAAGGGCGTGTGGGAGGGGGGAGATGGGAAGGGCATGTGGGAGGAGGGAGATGGGAAGGGCGTGTGGGAGGGGGGAGATGGGAAGGGCATGTGGGAGGAGGGAGATGGGAAGGGCGTGTGTGTCTGTGTGTGTGTGTGTGTGAGAGAGAGAGAGAGAGATAAAGTTAACAGTTAATGTATAAAAGAGAAACCTCAAGAAGTAGCAATATGAGTCTATTATTTAGAGAAAAGATATTAAAACCCAAGTAACCTAAACAAAAAAGAGATGAAAGCAGTTGTCTATGAAGGGGAGTCATAGGTGTGTGTGTGTTTGGGGGAGGGGGGGCGCAGAGAAGGCAGGAAATGCTATTTTTTCTTAACAAACCTTGTAGAAATATTTTGTTCTTTAAACAATTTGCATGTAAAACTTTGATAAGAAAATAAATGGATTAACAACCAACTTCCAGAAATGAAAACCCCAAGGAAGAATGAATGAAAAGAGGATAAAGAGATTGATGAACAGCCCTAGCCGGTTGACTCATTGGATAGAACACTGGTCCATGGACTGAAGGGTCACGGGTTTGATGTTCAGGTCAAGGGTATGTAACTTGGTTGCAGGCTTGATCCCGGGCCCCAGTAGGGGCGTGCACTGGAAGCAACCAATCCAATTGATGTGTCTCTCTCACAGCAATGTTTCTCTCCCTCTGTCTTTCCCTCTCCCCTCCACTCTCTCTAAAAATCAATAGAAAAATGTCCTCAGCTGAGGATTAACAAACACACACACACACACACACACACACACACAATCCCGCCACCCCCACAAGAGATTGATGAACAAATAAGCAAAGAAAAGTAAGTAATGGAAGACCCACAATTACGTGTTTATTATTGTTTCAGTACTGAGATAGGTCCCAAGAGACTGTAGGATATAAAGCACAAACCATTTCCCCATCAAGGTATTTTTTAGTAAATTATTTTATGTTTCTCACGAGTGGCTAAAAATAATTTTATAGTTTGTATTCCCAGTATACTTTTAAAATTATGATTTGATCTGGAAACAGCCTAAGTGCCCATTAGTAGATGAGTGGATTAATAAATGGTGGTACATATACACAATGGAATACTACGCTGTGGTAAAAAAGGAGTTCTTACCATTTGCAACAGCATGGATGGAACTGGAGAGCATTATGCTAACC